TGCAACATCCGGGGCCAACGTTAGCCCGTCTGCAACATCCTGGGCCAACGTTAGCCCGTCTGCAACATCCAGGGCCAACGTTAGCCCGTCTGCAACAGCCGGGGCTAACGTTAGCCCGTCTGCAACAGCCGGGGCCAACGTTAGCCCGTCTGCAACATCCAGGGCCAACGTTAGCCCGTCTGCAACAGCCGGGGCTAACTTTAGCCTGTCTGCAACATCCTGGGCCAACGTTAGCCCGTCTGCAACAGCCGGGGCTAACTTTAGCCTGTCTGCAGCAGCCGGGGCTAATGTTAGCCCGTCTGCAACAGTCGAGGCCAAGCCCCCGTGTGAAAAACTGCTGGCTGTGATGGCAAATTTTTTGTTTTATTTGGCAAAATGTCGTTTTTTGCTCCCATTCTTCCTGTCCAGACTTTCCTGTGTTCTTCTCTGCAACATACTTGGCGAGGACAGTCTGTACTCGCGTTCGAATTGAATTGAGAAACAGCCTGATTTTAGTTCATCATCAGGTCTTTACTGACAACCTTTCAGCATTTCATCCAGTAAAAACAAGTCTGCTTCACTTTGTTGGTGTTCCTCAGGGTTGTGTGTTCAGTCCTCTTGTTTTTAATAATGCGGAGCCGTTGGGCTGCAGCAATACCATGAAGTTTAGCTACAGTCAGTAAACCACTGATGGGATCCATCTGTAGGAGGATTGCTTCCTGATCTACACCCTGACGTCTAAATTATCTCCTCTAATTTTAGGAGTAAATTAAAAATGTTCCATGAGAAGAAACTGATGAAACAGAGGAAAACGTCCTGTTTGCTACCAGCTCCCTCCTATAATGGATCCCAACACCTATGGTTAATATTTCTGCTCTTCTTTCCACAGATTTCCTTATTTTAGTCCATTAACAGGATTATGGGAAGTTAATTTGTTAATTGAATAATTGTATCCATTCAGATTTCTGATAATCAGCTGTTTTCCAACCTCTGCATTTATTCTTCTGATGTGTTTATTGATCAGAATCATGTTTGCTTCCATTAACCTGTTTACCTGAATTCGCTCACTGAGACAATAAATGATTTTATTCTACTACAGTCTATTTGATTTGATTATTTTTATCGATTCTAATCTTTTCTATTTTATTGTAAGCAATTCAAATCTGCTTTGATTTGTTTTAATTCAGTATTATTCTATTGTATTCATTTCTTTTCTATTCCACTGTACTTTATTTTAGTCAGGTTGATGATCTCACCTCATGCAGTGTTTTATTGTGTTTTAATGTTTTATTTTTGGGGGCGGATGAAGCTCCATGTGTCTCATTTAAAGTGTTGGACTGAATATTGTTCTCTGATTAGAACCAACATGGCCGTTACCTTCTTCTCTCCTGCTCCTGCTGCAGGCTGGCCTCCTGTGCCTCTCTCTCCATCTCCTCCTTCTCCTTCTCCAGCTGCTCCTGTTTCTGCAGGTTTGCATCCACTGTGGAGAAGAGAGAAGGAAACATGAAGGAAGCATCATGGAGGAATGTTCTGCAGTGATGCAGTGAAGGTGTCTTACGTTTGCTCTGGATCTGCAGGCGGCGCGCCTCCATCACCTCCTCCATCTGCCGCTCTCTGGCCTCCCTCTGCAGCCGGCTCTGCTCCTCCCGTTTCATCCAGATCTCCTTCAGCTTCTCCTCCTGCAGCAGCTCCGTCTCCTGCTCCTCTCTCCTCTGCCTCTCCAGCTCCTCAGACAGGTACTTCAGGTACTGCTTCTGCTCCTCCTGCAGCTCCGCCTGAACACAAACCGGGCGTCAGCGGACCGGAGCGGAACCGTCTGCAGATGTTCTCCAGATGTTCGGGTTACCTTCCTCTGAGCTGACTCCTTCCTCTGTTCAGTCTCCTCCTTCTGGATCGGCTGCAGGATCTTCATGTCCAGCTGCAGCTCCTCCTGCTGCTCCTGCGCCAGGCGCTTCATTTTGAGCCTCAGGTCTCGGTCCAGCTGCCGGCGCCGGTTCTGCTGCTGCTGCAGCTTCAGCTGCCGCTGCCGCTCCTCCTGGAGGAGCCTCATCTGCTCCTGCTGCAGCTGGACGATAACGCAGGACGGAGGTCAGGTTAAATAGAAACACGGGAGGAGCGTGAAGCGGCGGGTCTTACCAGAAGTTGGAGCTTCTCCTCCCTCAGCTCCTTCTCCTGCTGCCTCCTCCGTTCTGCAGCTTTCATCTGCTCCCTCAGCTCCTGCAGCTGCTCCTCGTCTTTCTGCTGTCGCTGTCGGACTCTCAAGCTCTCCTGTTCTCCCTTGGCCTGGTAGTCGGCCTCCCACAGCTCGTCGAACAGCAGCTGCTCCTCCTGCAGCCGCCGCCGCTCCTCCTGTTGCCTCCTCACCAGAGCTGCATTATCCTGACGCAACTCCTGCTTCAGGCGCCGGCTCCGGATGCTGCGCAGCTCCTCGCATCGCTCCCTGGAGGCGGAGCAGAAAACCAACATGGAGAACGGTCAGGAGACGGGCTTCTCTGACAGAACCCGGGGAGCCTTTAGGCTGAGTGGACCCAGATGTCCTCTGGGTAAAAGAGTCGGCAGTGAGTCCATCAACAGAACCATCATCCTTGGAAAGTTCTACCTGACCTACAGAACAGGGTCCATTCTAAGAAGCCCAGAACCGCTTCAATAACTAAAGGTTGGACCCAGTTGGGTGAGCTGTTCTGTCTGATTAGACCAGAACAGAATTAGTTCTGATAGACCCTGCAGGTTCTAAGCTCCAGAACCAAGCTGGACTTCCTCAAAATGGATCCATCTGATGATGAAAGTATCAGGACCATTAGCAGGTAGAGAACGGGCCTGCTGAAGGTTTGACAGAGTCGCCATATTATGTCTACAGCAGCGGGTCTCAAAGTGGGGGGTTGGGTTCCTCCCATTGGTCACAAGGTTCTAACATGACTCCGCCAGATGGATTTGCTCCGCATATCCATCTGGAAACCTTCCGTTGAAGTAATTTTGGGATGGGGCGAAAATACTGGTTAGCTGATTGGCCTATGTTGGTGATAGACGGGC